ATGTTGATGCATTTAACTTTAACGTTTTATCAACAAAAAATAGAAGAAAGAACTAATTCAAAAGCTTGTTAATACTTTTATTTCGGAACTCCATATGGTAAAAAACACAGTATTCAGTACTTCAGTTTGAATCAATGACATAAGAAACACTTACAAAAAATAAACGCTTACTTACTTGTCCCGTGACGACTCCTGTGGGAAGTCTTTTTTGTTAAATAACAAATGCTTCAAAATGTAGGCTTGTACACACATAATCACAGCTCTCGGATTGTTCTAAGGATGTAAATAAAACAATCAAACAACCATCTTATCGAACACTCATAAAAAAGAACTCTTGACATATTTGTAAGGTCAAACATACAAATGTGATCTCAGCACAATTTCAAGAAAATTGTTTTTTTTCTCTCCATATTTATAGTCTATACCTTATTGTTAACATGGTTTCGACTTCAGAAACAGAAACTCCAAACTTGCGAGAACCAAGTAAACTCTGATGTAAGACTTTACACTCGCATCTTTATATTACTAACTTACAATCTGTGATCGCTGAATTAGCCTAACCTCACGTTGATTAAGAATGTTTTGCAACAGCCTTTAGAAGTTTTAATTGAAAGTTGTCATGTTATCTTGCAGTGTGATTTTTCGTCCTAAACATAGGAGGTTTTTAAGTGTGTTTTTTATTATTTTTCGGTGCTTTATTATCAATAACTATTAATATATTAATTTTAATTGGTTGTGTTTTTATTATGAAAGAAAGAATTACTCGTCATTATGTTTGTAATGCTTCTCATACTTCTATATTCGTGTTTACATATTTCTTGATTAATGGTTTAATTATGAAAAACTAAACTTGTAAGTAAATTAAGAAACAAATTTAACAAAATATATTCCTAAGAACTTATGAGTGAAAGTGAAGAATAATGCTTAAAAAAGTGTTAACCCTACTATATCTGCTATATCCAATATCGACGAGACCTTTCCCTCATTACCAGGGCTGATAAGGCCTAACTCGGATATGACATTTATAGTAGTGCTTGAGACACATGAAAACTATTTTTATGGTGAAGTGTAATTTCTATCATTTTTATTTCAGTCAATGAAAATTGGCGTAATTATTAACACCATTTTTGTTCTTGTAACACCAATTTTTGATTATTACTTAATTTATTGACCTTACTTATCATTCAGAAGAACTGACGAACCGGTCAGGTAGTCTTATTGTTCTCGAAGTGGATAAAGTACCCCATCTCTATCGGATGAAGACAATTGCAGTAATTCTAAGACCTCATGTAAAACAATATGTCAACTACATATCCACTGCCATATCCAGTGTCAACGAGGCTTTTCAGTTAATACCAGGGGTTATCAGGCCGATTGGGAGATAACAGGCATCGTAGTGTGTTTATTATTAATGGGTTTCCGTTTTAAGTGGGACGCTAATGTGTCAGAAAAAACATCAGTTTTAATGTTTTAAATTTAAAGAAAATAAAATTATTATTATTAGAAGCATACAGCTTCGACAAAAAGTTTTGATTATGAACAAAATTAAGTCATATGTATATTTTTTGGGCGTATTCAAAGGGCAATAAGGCGTTCCTTAATCACGTACCTAAAAACAAATGTTTTATAATATTCTACGTAATAGATTTAGTTCGTCCAATAACATGTTTCGATACACACACGTATAGATATTTCCATATATACAACTTTATTCGTTCACCTTTATGACCTATTTACGAATAGCTTATCATGCGTTTTCCGGCTGTTTTAATTTAAATACAGAATGTCTCAGTTTCTTTCTTTTGCGAAAAAGTAGAAACCTCTTATATTAAGCCAAGAAGGCAATGACAGAAAAGTACAATTGTAAAGCGATATCACGCATGTGTGTAATTTTGCACAACTAATAGTTAATGTAATTAATTATCTTTATAATGAAATAAGAAGACGCTCCAAACGACGAAACTGGGAAATTTAATTGACAAGATTCTTGTACTAGTAATGAATTACTACTTGAAAAATATATAATGACGATTAACAGAAAACCAACTTTACATGAATATAAAAGCTATGTTTAATTATGTTGTTTTACGTGGAGTGGTTATTTTATATTTGTTTTGTATCTAAATTCATTTAAATCCACATATTTTTTAGTAGTTTTAATAAAACTACTAACTTGAAAACAAATCATTATAAAAACTTTCAGTTGGAATGCATATAAATTAAATTTATGGCCTCCTGGCGTGTTCTTACTTTAAGAGAAACAAGTCCATAACCAAGCGCAGAGCCAGGTTCACGAAACTCCAAGGCTGACTTCATCCATTCCTGGTTCCCAATGTAAGTACTTCCACCAAACAGTAGTTTTCTTAACGACTGTAAAAAGAAAACGTAAGTCTACACGTATTTGTCACATCGGTTGACTACAAACGTAATCATTTACTAGATAATTTGATGTTTTATAAATTTTAACAGTAATCTCACAAGTTTTGGAATAAATATGGTGTTTATGCCACGAAGTATGCGTAATTGAAGGAAACGTAATTGCCAGCTAAGCGCCGAGCAATAAAAGGCGCCTTTAACTTTCAAAAAATGTTTGTTTGTTTTTTATGTAGGAAATATACAAGAATGTATAGTTAATTGGTAGTTTTATTCCAGAATATTCAAGATAAATAAAACTGCGATTTCCATGAAAGCCTCCTGGAGGGGCCACTTGTTTTTACCTTTCTCACCACTATACAGTAGTGTGTTGTCTGTCAATCAGTTGATAGACACTAAATGGACGTTAAATAAGGGACGCTTAACGTTGCAATTTGTACTGTCGTGACGTCAGTAAAACGTGCGCATGAACTGTTTTAATTTTATTTCAAATGTGAAACTACGTAAAACACAGCATGCACAATCACTGGCATGTTTTACTAGATGTACTTTCGCAGGGTCCTCGAAAGTGTTCTGTTTCGAGAGTAAACAAAACCAAAATTAAGACTAAGAAATTTTTTACTTACTTTTGAAGTTTATGTGTCACGCCGTGTTGTAGCCTACAGAGTGCACAATTCTTCTCGTGATTCATGGCTTATTAATTTTCACTAACAAAGTAGACTCAAAAAATCAATCTTTCTGATGTAGTAAAACTTAAACTCACCATTGAAGTACACGTACTAGATTAATCTATAATTTGAATTGTTTGTAAATTTATTATGTTTAAAGTATACTTCACCACAGGACAAACTTTCCAGGTTAAATTCGATGTCATGACATTATAAAGTAATTATGTTAGATTTTTTTCTGTACAAAATCACATTATTTAATATTCATTTAAAAGTTATTGAAAACTAATTGAACAGTTGCTGACGAATCATATGTTTGTATTTTTCGTACCATTACAACAGTGGGCAACCCGCACACCCCTAATAGTCAGCTTAGGCTCCCCTCCTCTTCCCTAACTAATCATACTTTAAGGGATGATAGAAGGCTAATTCCAGGTACATTAATGTAAGGAAAGTAAAACGTAAATTTCAGCATTTCGCGGTCCATGTAGTCTCTCAGAGAAGTCTGTCACGATAATATATTTGGAAAGCATTTGACGGGAATTTCTCAAAACGAAAGATATAACGTTTTTCTAAATTTTCAGCATTAAGATTAAATTTTTGCTTTCTCTGAATTTGAGTAATTTGTAACGATATCTCGATGATTCTAATTAGTATCGTTTAAGTCACACCGCTTCAATTTTTTTAGACATAATTTTTTTTTTTTTACCGAAGCAATTTCGTCCCCAAATGAATCATAAAGTTATCATGTTTTGAAAATTCTCTTCGGTTCATTTTACAACACTGCTTACACTTCACGAATCATTCTGTTGGGTTTCGATACCCACGTGACA